TGGTTTTGGAATGTTATTCTTAAATTCTCTATCACCTTAGTTCAAGGCGATTTAAATATATTCATCAAATGTTGACATTGCCTTACCACCTTATTTGGAGGCAATTTAATAACAGCTCATTATAGCCCAATATCACCTCAATTCAAAGCGCTCAAATACTTGTAATTGATCATCCTAGTTGGTAATTCTCGCCAATCCGCCGTAGCTCTTCAGGGCTTATTGTCCAGTCATTTAAGAACATTGACAACATGCCATCTCACAGGATGGGATTCAACCCCTTCAAGACAAGGTTGAGGCTATAGCCAAAATGCCTGCTCCCAAAACCCTGCGCAATATTTAGGTATTATTGGGTATGATGGGGCATTACCACCTATTTATTCCAAAATTCTCTCAGCTGAGTGAGCCTCTTGTATGGCTATTAGTTAGGAACGTCCCTTTTCATTGGGGAGCTGAACAAAAGGCTGCCTTCTAGATGCTAAAGCAGTTGTTGCAAAAGTGCCCTAACCTGTGTCACCCTGATTATGGTAAACCTTTCCTTTTGTTTACTGATGCCTCTGACTACACTGTTGGAGCCATTCTGGCTCAATTGGATGATAATGGTGTGGGTCATCCCGTCTCCTATTTCAGCAAGACGTTATCCAAGGCTGAACGTAATTACAGTGTCACTGAAAAGGAGTGCCTTGCGGTTTTGCTGTGTGTAAATTATTACCGCCCTTTTCCTTATATGGAACTTTCTATACTGTGGTACTGACCACGCCTTCCTGAAGTGGTTAAAAATAGAAGGATCCCACTGAGCAGTTGGCTCGCTGGGCCTTAAAGCTCCAACAATATGATATGAAGATTGAGCAACAAGCTGGAACCCACCATTTGAATGTTAATGGTTTGACTTGGCTGCCTATCCTTCACCTGGATAATAGTGAAGCTGAGAGGCTGCATGACCTACTTATAACCCCTGATTCCTGGGAAGATGAGGATGAACCCATCTGGAAATTGTTAGGCCAACACTCCCACAACACCAAAGTGGAAAGTGGAAAGTTGTATAAGAAAGTAGGGGTGAATTGGTTGCCTTATCTCCGCCCTTCCAAGCGAGTCCCCAAAATCATGGAGGTCCATTTTATTCTGGGGCACAGTGGAGTGCGCAAAACTTGTGATTGGGTAAGGATAGGTACTACTGGTAGGAAATCTTGGAGTCTATCATCAAAGTGCTGGATGCCTGCCTAATCTGTAAGCAGCATTCAGCTACAAACCCAAGCATTAATATCAACCCGCCACGCCTCAACAACCATTTCATACAATAAGCTTGGATGTGTTAGGTCTGCTGCCTCAGACTACCAGCGGAAATCATTATGTCTTGGTAGGCATTGATAACTTCACCAAATGGGTTGAAGTGGTTGCTCTTCCTGCCCAGACCACCAAAGCTACTGCCACCTTCATCCATCAACATATTTTCACCTGGCATGGTTGTCCTCAGTTCCTACTGTGTGACAATGGGAAATATTACGTCGCAGGTGGTAAAGCTTTTGGCTACTTCCATGGGGATGCAACAACTTTTCTCGGCCCCCTACAACCCTTCCATGAATGGTACTGTGGAAAGAGTGAATGGAACCCCAGTTTCCGTATTACAAAAGATGGCCAGCTCAGATCCCCTACATTAGGATTAATTCTTACCTAGTGCCCTCATGGCCTACCATATCAGCTACCATCAAATTCTTATAATGTCTCCTTTCCACATATTATATGGTCAGAACTAGGAGTACCAGCTCTGCTAGCAAAAGAGTTCTCTGTTAGGTCAGATGGTCCTGAAAAAGCCATAAAAAGGTTGTCACAACGCATCAATTAGCTGAAGTCTTATTCCATGACTAACTTAGTTAAAACAGTCACCAAAAAAGGTGTGGCTGAAAATGAGCCAAAGAAGCCGCCCCCCCCCTTTCAAGTTTCAGACTCGGTGTTATATTACCACAATTGTATCACTCCCAGAAGTGAAAAGCTTGGGTCTATTTGGGAAGGTCCTTTTGTAGTCACTTATAAAGGAGGAGATGAATACTCCATCAAATTCTCTTGCTTCTGGAGTTACCATCAACTGAGTTCATGGCTGGTTCTTGCAGCCTTATTCTCCCCATAACACCCATGAAGGGGATGATGTCAGACAATTACAAGTCAGAAATTGCAATTAAGAGTTATTTGGATTTTGATATGGATAACATTGGCCAAAAGACCCTGATTGATTTTAGGTGTAACAAATGGGGCTCCCAAGGCCCAGCCCACCACTGGCCCTAAACATACACCCCCATATATGGCCATACCAACTCCAAATGGTCCTGTCCAGATGGATGGCCTTGCCAGACACACTGGGCTGAGGTGCAGTGCACCAGCCTCTGTCACCTTGGGCCTCTGGGCTGAGGTGCATCCCTATGGCCTCTGTCACCTTGGGGTCACTGGGCTAAGGTGCAACCAACCGGCCTCTGTCACCTTGGGCCACTCTGGCTCCATCCCCTCTCGCCAGGGCACAACCACTCCAAGAGGATCCTGGCGCGTCCTCCCCCTTCCTCTCCTCCTTATCACACCGCCATCCATGCCCCCAACCTTACTTAAATAAAATACAATAAAAATTATATTGAAATAAACAATTCTAGTGAATGTGGCCTTTATTGGAAGTGAACCTGGAGTCAGAATAGAATTCCAAAGTGAGGACCATCTAAGCTGACCTCGCTTTGAAATACTTCCTAAAAAGGCTAAATGAATTGTGGGTAGTGAGGGATGCAAAAGCCTCCAGAATTGATGGCATCCAGGCAACTCAGTGGCAAAATGGGGGGCCTCAGAATGAACAACCAATTAAATAAACTATTTATTAAATTATCACATTATCAATCCAATTAGGAAATACCTACTCAGAATAATGGAATTGCAACTATTGACATGCACAAATCTCATAATTCCCACCATTATGAAATTCATGTACAATTGTTGATTGTTACTCTAGGTGGAACACCACAAATCAGGGTAATACTATTGCCCTCAATACTCAGCTAAATCACCTTATAGCTAGTAGCAGGGCTATTCTGAACTTGGGTCAAAATCAGGGGAGTTTTTCTGAGGGTCCTCTCCATCCCCTCTCTAATTTAGTCCAAACACCTACTTTGCAACTACCCCCTTTTATAGCCTTAGATGAGGTTTCACCAGAGGCAAATATTTTTCCACCCAATGATTGGGTCAAATATAAAATTACTGCCTCATGGTTATATCTTACCTGCTATTGATCTTCCATTGGCCATTCCACCCAAGAGAGGTGAGTCTCAAGAGCTCCAATAGGTCAAAAACCCATATTAAAGTTTGGATGCACCCAGCTTATACCAAACTCATGTCTGACTCACTTCAAACTTTTAACATTTTAGTAACTAAGATTTGAGATATTAATAGAGTTTGCTTCTTGACCCCTGGCCGCAATTAATAAAAACTTCATAAACCAACCTTTTAGTATAAATTAAAAGTACTATTTTTATCTAGTGGTCAAAAAACCTCTTTATTTATTTTGACAGTTGAGAAAAATACTGCTCCTGCCATATTGTTGAAATTGGGGGATAATTAGCAACAGTGAGAATACACCCTTCCCTGATTCCAAAAACTTATTACAAGATATAGTTTTGATTAGAAATTTATGTTTAAATATATATCTTACACTATTACCAGAAAAACCGAAAAATTTGCATTGAAAATACTGCACATATTTTTCATTTACATTCCTTCCACATGTAGTTCTGAGCAACAAAAAGTCCATTTTTGACCCTCTGATACAATATATGCTGGCCCACTCATTAATAGTCTCTTCCAACTACTAAACACTTTGGAGGCAAAGAAAGATTTATTATATATGAAAAAAAGGTTAATATACACTGCACATTGTATAATAGAACCACATAATGTGGTAAAAACATAATATAAAGATGCAAAAAATAACTCTTAATAATCTCAAACCCAATATTAAAACATGATAAGTATCTTGTTAAGGGAGGATAACATACAATATAAATTAATTTAAATATATAAAAATGTCAAAATAGATGTATACTATCTAAATACTGAATTGTAGCAAAAAGCATGCTTTTATTACAGAAAATATAAACTTATATTATCAATTTGGCATTAAAAGAGTTTGTGCAAAGATGATAAGGTTTATGTCTATAAAGGCAAGTTAAATTTAAATCACAAATGCACTTATGGTATATAATAGGTACATTAGGTGATAAATATAGGTGTATGCACATTCTTATAAGAAATGTATTTGTACTAGTTTATAGGTGAGTCATATAGATTAGTTTACAGGTAACTATAAAAACCTTCAGAGTTAACTAGATGCAACTTAAAAAACATAAACTGATGTGTAAGGATCTATTGAATTATATATGAAAACTTTAGAATAGTCAGATGCCTTACATCTTGTTTTGTAAGTGTAAAAGTAGGTCTACTTTGTTGTTATATAACAGTAGGCTTATGAGAACTGCTCAGTGTACACTTACCTCTTAATAAAGTTTTTTACAAGATATAGGTAACTTAATGACAACATGTCTTTCTTACATATGACCCTCAAATAGTGTCATCAATGACAGATAAGTGAAGCTTAGGTGAAAAGAGTAACATCATGCACTTAATGAGTAGTCTTTAATAATTTTCATATTTTTGGATTTTCTCATCTGCTCCTTAAAGACTTTGAGAATTTTAAACCAAAGTATAAGAAACATAACGAGATCTTACATCTAAAGTACTAAAAGCAACCAATGTAGGTTGTAAACTAGACAGACCATCTGCATTTAGTGAATGGTATAAGCCAAATGAACACTAAAGAAATTTAAACTCTGTAAAAAAAGAGATCAGCGAGACAAAGCCATTTTAGATCTTATTTTTTCCTCTGGTCATTGCATCAAATAGTAATAAGTGAATATAAAATAAAGGATGGTTTACTTCTGCTTAAACCCAAAACATGAAAATTTAACTAAGAAATTCATGGCGACTTGCCCGAGCGGTCCAAGGGGTCAGGTTTAGGCCCTGATATGTTAGCATGCGAGGGTTCGAACCCCTCAGTCGTCACTTTTTACCAAATAGACAAACATATAGTTATGATTGGAAAAAATTATCCCTGGTCAGCTTACCCAAATATATATACAGCAAATTTTTACCCTTTGCCATCTCAATTCATCTCCACATCCCATCTATCTTCTTAGCATCCTATCTTTTGCTCCATTAATTGGCAGCTTTACTCCAACTTCTATCATTTTCAACTCAGTTGTAGATGCATTTAAACTGGTTCAGCTAATCTGCCTTAAAATTCTGACCAATTTATTCACCAAATAATTGATCCTTTATTTAGTATGCATTGTCATGGTTTACACATGTTCTCAACATCATTCTAAGATTAGCTTTTGCCTTTGTGCCAACCTCAGTTATTTATTTCTGTACACTGACAAAGCAATTTTATTAATTTCACCACTGCTAATTTTGTATCAGCTGGCTTAATTGACTGAATCCCTTTTGATGGCTATTTTGATGCTGGTTTCCCTACTGATCAGGATGCTACCATTGTGTTAAGATCTCAATATGCCTATATTTACCCAGCTTAATTGATTATAATTTATCTGCTTGTACACTGGGGATTCATCTTGCCAATGGATTTGGGGATATTGATTATATACAATAACTATTGTTCAAAATATTATCTTGACCAATTATTACATAATTTGCTGAGGTTGATCCATCAGATTGATGCTCTTAATTGCTTAATTCTCATCAGGATGCTTCCTGACAATAAACAAGAGATTAGGTTGTCAATTTTACTATTGATACCTTAATTTGCTTATGAGGAGTCAGTTAGGTTTAGTTGCCAATTGACTAAGGGGTTTATGAGTTGTGAGTAAGTAATACTGTCTGTAATAGAGCAACTTTTGAGTTAACTTTTTCATAATTGTACCCTACCATTTAGAAATAAAGTTCAGTTATCTAATCAGGTAGTTACCTAATGAGGGTAATGCAATGAGATTTGAGTGAAGATGTTAGGACACATTATTTGTTTCAGCTCAAAATTGTAGCACTGAGAGTCAGCAGGAGAATCTACCTAGAACTGATAAGTAAGATTTTTTTTTGTGTAACTCAGGAGGGTTACTTCATCAGTGATGGCCGACTTTTCCAATTGATATGCCAACAAAAAAGTTTATTAAATTAAATATAATTTCACCTTGGGTTTTCATAATAAAGCATATAAGAAAAACTCAAATACTTTTTTCATAATTTGGTCTGTTTTTTTCTGAGATTAGAGTTTTTGGAAGGACAAGGAGCTTCTTTGTCTATATTAATGCTATATTCATGGAATTTTCATGATGGGATGGAAGAAGAACCACAGTACCTAATCCTAGGTTAATTTTACTGAAGAGAGAAGAAGTCCCTACAGATTTTCTAGATTACCATTCAAGATTAGTACAAGCACCAGGTTGGCGTTGGACCTAATAACCATCTTGGCTAAATAAGCTCAGCTATATTATTATTATTCAATCAATCACTGCCCATATAATTCACTATCAACAAGTCAAACAATGCACTCAAGGAACCTGTACAGTTGAACAAGGGAGCTGAAGTGAGTTACTATCTGAAAAGAGTAAATGAATCCTGAACATTTAACAATTGGTGCTCAATTGAGTCACTACCAGTTTTAAAATTATAACAAATGGTGCTCACTACAGGTAATAGTTTGAGTTTTAAGCCAATTTTAATAATATTAAATTAACCATGTTTTATGTAAATGAATTATGAAAGCTTTAGATGAAAATAGAAACTGTCAACAAGAATTCACTCAACTTGGCATCAAAGGCTGATTTCACTGCATTGGAAGACTGGGTGATAGAGCTTAGGAATAAGTCAAACAAGTTAAAAAATTAACAATGGCCTCTGTGGAAATATATAACTCCTTTAAGAGCAAGGAAGGTGAACTAATCAAATAAGTATTTTTTAGAAGGCCAAGTGAGAAGCATGTTGAGAATGCATACACTGATTACTGAAGATATATCACAATTATTGAAAAGCATGGAAGAACTAGCAACAATGAGCCAATCTGATTGAAAGTAAATAGAGCAGAAGAAGGCAACAATAAAACGCACAAAGCTTTAGTCAAGAAGATTCCACCACCTAGAAATATGCATGGATCATTTGGAGCAATTTCAGAAATGACTACCAAAACTACTCCTGTGGTCAATCAAGTCGTCAGGCAGGAATCCTATGCCAGTGGAACCATAGATGAATTTTGGAGCACATTGAAATTACTCATGTTCCATCATTATAACACCACTGCATTTTTTCCAAATTATTTGAGACTAGCATTCAGATACCCATGCTTTGCTACAGTGTTTATAACTTACCATATGATGCTATATTGATTTAGTTTTTCTATTGGTAGATAGTCATAAGTTTAGAAACCATTAAACTTACTAGTTATTCCAATCTCCAACCACGCAGACAAAATTTAATTAAGCAAGACAAATTAAATAAATCATCAATTGCTTACCTGGACTATTGAGCCCATTGAATCAAACAAAAAATGAACCACCATTCAGCAAAAACAAATTGTTGAACTTGCAAAACAGACAAAAACTACCAAACACTTATCAAAACCTATTAAACTATTTTTTAAATTTTTAAATTTTTAAATTTATTGCGGGGAAGGCTGACCATGGGACGGACACTTCCAAATATGACTCAGGAAAGATAAACTTAGTACCAGGGGGGCACCCCAGAGAAGCGATGATATCTCTTGTTGCCAGCGGGAACGCCACTTATGGGGAGGGGGAGGGAACGTGTGAAGGGGCCGTAGCCACTATTGAGCACGTGTGAAGGAAGGGGTCTGATTTGATGAACCAGACTGGGAACCAGGAGGAGACCAGCTGTCAGCGACGCGGTGGGAGATATCCAAGCATCCACGCTTGAAAGTGGTCCACCAAATGAGACTGGAATCTGTGGACAGCTTCTGGGAGGGTGGGGATGGAGCCAGCGATGGCATCCAAGACAATCGTGTGGATAGTCCACATGGCGATTGCAACCACCAGAGCATGGAGGGAGGGTGGAAGGGGGAAGGCCATTGATGAAGCAAACATATCTCTTGACAGACTGAAGGGATGCGTTTGATCCTGGCCTAGCAGACGTTGGACTTCGCGCCATATCACTTTAGAGGTGGGGCACTTCTCCAGGCGGTGGAATAGCGTTCCATACTGGCCACACATGACACAGGATGAGTGTAAAGCGTTAGAGCGCTCAGCTGTATGATACACCCGCCCCAGGCAGCGCCACACATGGGAGCAGACTTGAGGCTGCAACAGAGGATGGTGTGCATATTTCCAGATAGTCTTTTGGGTCTCAGTGGAATAAGGGATGTCCATCATGTCCAGGTAGTCCACCCTGGATAGGACTTGGGGTCGAATGGGGATCACGCCATCATGGATGGGTAGCCCCTGTACCTCTTGTGTGAACTGAGGAGAGGGGCGGCCTCTTCGGATTGTATGTCCACTAATATGAATTCTCCACTCTGCGCTTCACATGGAGAGTAGGATTCGCTTGTAGTGGGTTTAGTCCCGTGAGGACCTGTGGCCGATGTGTGTGATGCGAGGTATTTCATCAGGGAGTGGGGGTTTGATGGATTGTTGAGGCCCAAGGCTCAAGAGAAGTTGGAGTGGGCCGCACGGGACCAGTGTTGGGATGGGAGTGTAGGAGCGGTGATGGCCGCAATCCAGGTGCCCAGGATCTTGCCAGCATGGGATTTGAAGTCAAGCAGGCTCATGCCACCTTGATGATGAGGGCCAAACATGACCTCTAGCCATACTGTTGGAGGGCGGCCTGACCAAAGCCATCCTTGCAGCAGAGCATACAGGGATTTGAAGAAGCTTGGGGAGAAGGGGATGGCGTGGGCTCTGACCCAGACTTTGGATAGGAGCATAGAGTTGGCAAGAACAACTCTGCCAGTGAGGGTAGTAGGGTGGGCTCTGAGAGAGGCGATTCGCTTCGTCACGTTGTCCAGTATATGGCACTCCATTACTGCTGACGCATATCCGCCTGCCTCCATCCACACGCCCAGATGGCGCACCGGTCCTATGGTAGGACGTGGCATGAAGGGGAGCACCAGTGGAGCAGTGTGTGTTGAGTTAGTAAGGCGTGGACGTGGGCGAGCAGATGGGCCAGGTTGGGAACTACTTGCTGGGGCCCAGCAGTTCTGAAACTGACCAAGGAGGATGATTTCAGTTTTGGAGGCGTTCAGTGTCACGTTGCTTACCCGGGAATATTCCTGGATGAGGGCTTCAAGCGCGCGTGCATCTTTGTTATTAGACACCCCCACCACGCAATAATCTGCAAATGCCATCATCTTGACTGGGTTTGGCCTGGCACATGGACCCCAGTGAGTTGGGCATTCACATTTCGCAGTAGTGGGTCAAGGCTGAAGTTGTATAAGAGTGGGCTGAGAGGGTCCCCTTGTTGCAGGCCCCTTTGAGGGCGGACTACTTCTGTTGGGAAGCCTGGGCCACACACTGCCATTGTCGCAGATTCTGTGAGCAGCATCACCCAGTTTATGAAGTGGGGGGGTAGGCGGAATTGATGGAGGCAGGCCCTAAGGTATTCCCAGTTTACTCTATCATAGGCCTTTTGTTGGTCCAAGAATACAAGTGCCCTAGAGGCTGTGGACTGACACACATTAGCCACAGAGTGCACGTTATCCCAAATCGACCTTCTGGGGATGAAACTGAATTGTTCTGGGGAGATGGTGGCAGATGCTACAGTCTCTAAACGGTCAGCCATGTTTTTTGTTAAAATTTTGGTGTCTGTGTTTGTTAGAGAAATGGGGCGCCAGTTGGCTAAGTCAAGCTTATCCACTTTCTTGAAGAGTGTGACAGTAAAGGCCTCATGTCCTCCTGGTAGGAGGCGCGTTTCCAACAGGCTTTGGTTGAGTGAGGCTAGCAGCAATGGGGATATATATTTGAAGTACTTTTTATAGAATTCATATGGAATGCCATCTGGGCCTGGGCATTTTTTGGTTTGGTGCACCGCGAATGGCTGTCCAT